GGAGCCTTTGGGACTGATGGTGAAAGCAGGTTTGGTGGGCTCCTCCTCCTTTTGTTTCTTCTTCTCTGCAGCTTCCGCTCTTCTCTTCTCTATCTCCTCCTTCATCCTCTTTCTCTCCTCCTGTTGTATAAAAAAACAATTAGCTGATAAATATCTAATCCCCTGGAGAATCCCAGAGTTACACGTTGAAGCTGTAAACAACCACCTGCTCCTTGGTTTTCTTCTCCTCCTGCTCCCTCTTTTTCTGCATCTCCTCCTCCTCTAGAACTTTCCTCCTCTCCTCCCGTTTCCTCCTCAGCTCCCCCAGCTCAGCCTCTGCGTCCTGCTGCTTCTGCTTCATCTTCTCCAACTCTTCGCTCTCCGTGTTGTTCCGTCTCTGCTTCAGCTCCTGCAGCTTACGCTCAGCCTCCCGCCGCTGCGCGTCGTCAGCCTTGGTGGACGGAGCGCTGTCTCTGCTCAGGCACACGCACATTTTTGAGATGGAACAAGTCAAATCCCACCAACATGATCAGTCTGTCAAAGGTCACCTCAACGGTTGTTCAAACTTCTTGAACTTGTTGTCGGCGACAGCTCGGTTCTGTTTAGATGCTTCGCTCTGGCGATAAGAGAAAACAGATGTTACTGACGGCAGCCGCACCAGAGGACAGTGGCGTTTGTTTTACCTTCTCCTTAAACCCAAATGGTTTCGGTTTCTCCTCCTTTGGATCAGAAGGAGAGACAGAAAAAGCAAAATGAAAAACAGCAACAACACTCTGATGTCTGTCATCGCTTCTTCTCTAAATAAAAACAAAAACACTGAAAACGTTCAAACTTGTTTAAGTTCAATTCAGTTTCTGAAGTTTTCTTTTTGTTTTTATTCTTTTTAGGAGCCAATCAGATCATCACATCAGTACCTCCACTTTCTTCTTTTTCTCCATCTCTTGTTTTTTACGCTTCTCCTCCTCCTCCTTTTTCTTTTTCTCCATCTCATTTTTCTGCCTCTTCTCCTCCTCTTTCTTCTTCTCCTCCTCCATTTCCCTTTTCCTCTTCTCTTCTTTCATCTTTTCCTCCATTTCTCTTTTTCGCCTCTCCTCCTCTTTCTTCTTCTCCTCCTGCTCCTTCTTCCTCAGCTTCTCCTCCTCCCTTTTCTTTTTCTCCTCCATTTCTTTTCTCTGTTTTTCTTCCTCTTCTTTCTTCTTCTCTTCCTCCATCTCCTTTTTCCTTTTTTCCTCCTCTTCCACTTTCAGCCTCTCTTCCATGGCTTTTTTCTGCTTTTCCTCTTCTTTTCTCATTTTTTCCTCTGTCTCTTTTTTACGTCTTTCTTCCTCCTCTTGTTTCAGCCGTTCTTCTTTTTCTCTTTGATGTCTCTCTTCTTCTTCTTCTCTCATCTTTCTCTCCTCTTCTTCCTTTCTCTGCCTTTCTTCCTCTTCCCTTTTTAGTTTTTCCTCCATGTCTCTTTGTTTCTTTTCTTCCTCTTCTATCTGTTGCTTCTCTTCTAGTTCTTTTTGCAGCCTTTCTTCATCCTCTCTTATTTTCCTTTCATCTTCCTCTTCATCAGGACCAGTTTCCTCCACCAGGTCCAGTTCAGCCTCCTCCTCTGCTGAGTCACTCTTCTCTTTGGTCTCCTGGTAAATTATAAAAGTCTTAATGATTTTTATTATTTCATGCTAATAAATGTGAAGTGAAACGAGCGTACCTCGACCACTGCGGCGCTTTCCTGTAACAAATGAAAAGACTTTAAGAATTATCATGAAAGCCTTTTTGTCCTCATTCATCTAAAATAACTTACCCTCTCCTCCTCCTTATCTCCATCCTCCTCTCTCCTCCAGGAGTTTGCACCGGCAGCCGCCTCACAGACACACTCCTCATTCTTTTCCTCCTCCTCCTCTGTCTCCTGGTGCCCGTTGCTGCTGCTGATGGAGGATTGCTCCTGTGGTGTGTCCCCTGTGCCGTTGGTGGAGCTGAATGTGGGGTCCAGCTCCTTCTGCCTCTCCATTGCCTCCTTCATCCTCTTCTGCCTGCGCTCCTCCCTCTTAGCCAGACGGTCCAGCAGAGCCTGGTCATCGTCTGCTCCTCCAGCTCCGGCCGCGTGAGACTCGGACTCCATCACACTGTGCATGTAAACCGTAATAAAATAAAACCTCAACAGTCTTGGACCATCACAGACTTGTTGATCAAACATCTCAGCTCAACCACAAACAGATGAACCCTGTTCCTTGCTGATTCACTTTCTTCCAGATAAAACATCACCTGCACCTGTTTGTGTTGATCGCATCTGCTGTTCCAGACTCCTCCATGTCCTTCATTTTCCTCCTCTCCTCCCGTGCACGTCTCCTTTGCTCACGCACTTCCTCTTCCTCATCGTCGTTGGCGTAACTCACCCTGGGAACACGAGCACAGGGTACAATTTAATCATTTTTTTCCCCATGTTTGCAAAATTGTAGAAATTTTAAACAAACTGGATAAAAAAAACACATTTTCAATACTATCTTGGCCAATTAGTGTGGAAACCATCAACAAGAGGGTCTTTGTACCGTTTGGAAAGGATTTAACCACAAAATGTCCACGAAAAAACTAAACTTGCCAAGAAGTTTGGTTAAACTCCTCTAAACCCCATCAAGTGGCATGCTGATGAAAGTTATAAAGCTTCCAGTGTCTGCAGCAATAAGGGAGGGGGGGTGGGGGGTACAGCTGGCAGAAACCGGCTGTAAGACTGTGAGAAAAATCCTGGGAATGCTCATAATGCTGGAGCTCTGGTGGCAGCGCTCATAAGGCAGCACAGTTAAAAAGATTTGTGGTTCAAATAAAAACCATCAAAGTAACCAGGAGCTTCTGCTCCAACACAGTTTTCAGTTTGACGTCACAAAAACACAAAAAACATCTCTCCTGCTGCTCGATAGTGAGTTTGATCAAATGAAGACAGCTAAGATCAACTCAACAGTCTCCTTTTTGTCCTGCCAACGTCATGGAACGTTAAACCCAATTATACTGCAGCCTGGACATATCTGTCATGGTGACGAGATTTGCGTGTGAATTCTTTACTTTTGGTGATTTTCTTGGATGCTAAACCAACATCAGTCTTCTCCGTCACGAGTCAAGATGGATGAGTCCATGAATGTTAAGTGACAGTGTGACGTAGATCTGTCAGGATTTTCTGAATTGAGAGTTTCCTCGTCTATTTTCTACCAGAAGCTAATGCAGGAGATAGGTGTAGGAGACTATTTCATGTCCAGCTTGCATGAAAAACTCAGAGTGACCGATTATAATCAGAAATATTAATAATAAATGTTTTTTTTTTTCTGTGAAGTTGACCTTTAATAAAAAACTGATGCTTTAATGAATGCGAACCTCACTTCCAGGCCATAACGACGACAGGCCTTCTTCAACATTAACCACCTTGCTACCATGAGCTGATATTTTCTTGCCTGTCGTAGAGTTCTGCATGAAAACCATCAGAAACATAAAGATAGAAAGGTTTACCACAGTCTGGGTTTGCTAGTGCAATGGCTGGCAGGTGCAAATTAGCAGGAGAGGTGGTTCATGGGCTGTTTGGCCTCCACTCCTTTGGCTAGGCCTCATTTAAGATTGAGATGAGGCCATTCTTCACCAAAATGCCTTTGCCACTGGATTGTAAACCATAATTATTTTCTTTATCTGCTAATCATCTCACCTGCCAATCTCACTTAATTCTCCCCCTCTGCACCGTGACTTTGCGGTCTGCATAATCACAGCCTGACACAGATCTACATCTCTACAGTTAATATTTACAGACTGAGGCAAATAGTTGAATCCAACCTGAAATAAAAACACAACGAATCACTGAGAAGATTGCTTTATCTATCCCTGTGATGGTGCAGCAGGCTGGTAGACAACATGTTTTAGTCCTGCAGGACACACCAGTTAAAGAAATGAGCATTTTAAAAAATAACCTCAATAGGGACGTAATTTTAGATAGCTTTGCTCCTGTTTCTTTGCCTGAGCTAACCAAACTAGTTAACTCTATGAAGACCTCTGCATGCCCCCTCGACATCTTACCCTCATCTTTGTTTAAAAGTGCTTTTCAGTCCATCAGTCCCAGTGTGCTCTCTATAATTAATGCTTCTCTGGTCTCTGGTCAGGTCCCTGCTTACTTTAAGAACGCTGTAATTCACCCGCTTCTTAAAAAACCGAGTCTCGACCCCTCTCTCCATAGCAGCTTCAGACCCATCTGTAAACTTCCGTTCATCTCCAAGGTCTTGGAAAAGGTTGTGGCTAAACAACTCACAGCTGCTCTTGATGAACATAACATCTATGATAGCTTCCAGTCAGGTTTTTGTAGAGCTCATTCTATTGAAACAGCTCTTCTTAGGGTCTCTAATGACCTTCTGACTCACAGTGATGCAGGGGACTGTTCTGTTCTGGTCCTGTTGGACCTGACTGCAGCCTTTGACACTGTTGACCATCACCTGCTACTGGAGAGGCTGAGAGACTGGGTAGGCCTATCAGGAACTGCTCTGGAGTGGTTCTCTTCTTATCTGAGCGCTCCTTTTCTGTGGCGTCTCCAAGTTTAGGTCCTCCACCACCTCCCTTACCCATGGTGTCCCACAAGGTTCTGTGCTGGGGCCTCTGCTCTTCCTCCTCTATCTGCTTCCTCTTCAGCACATCCTGAGCTCCTTCAAATGAATCTCCTACCATCTTTATGCAGATGACATCCAACCTGGGTGTGATTTTTGACTCTGAGCTGACTTTTATCCCACACATTAAAAATATCACAAAAATAGGTTTTTATCATCTAAAGAACATCACCAGAGTCCGCCCCATTCTCTCTCGGGCCAATACGGAGACGTTGATGCATGCTTTTATCACCAGTAGGATAGATTACTGCTTTCTGGTCTTCCCAAAAAGAGCATCTCAGGCTTACAAATTCTACAAAATTCGGCAGCACGTGTCCTGATGAAGACCAGGAGGCAGGAGCACATGACACCAGTTTTAGAATCATTGCATTGGCTCCCCGTATGTTTCAGGATCAATTTTAAGGTTCTTCTAATGGTTTTTAAGTGTCTTAACGGTCTTGGGCCTTCTTATCTATCAGAACTGCTTTTACAATATGAACCCTCGCGGCCTTTGCGCTCATCTGGCAGGCGTCTCCTGGTCATCCCTAAAGTCAGGACACACACTCACAGCGAGGCGTCCTTCCAGTGTTATGGCCCTTGCCTTTGGAACGAGCTGCCAGAGGACCTCAGGGCTGCAGAGAACGTTCATGTTTTTAAGTCCAGGCTCAAGACCCATCTGTTTAGGTTAGCTTTTATCTAAATATTTACTACAGTTTTATTTCTCGTTTTACATGATTATGTTTTGTTGCTTCCTTTGCTTGTTCTATATGATTATATTTTAGCACAGTTTTATTATTTAATATTATTATTCTACTGTCTATATGATTTTATTTATTACTTATTTTCTAACTTTTGTCATTTATATTAGCTCTTTTATTATATTTTTACTCATTTTATTCCAGTGTTTCCTCTGTGGGGGCCCTCTGCCCCAGGAGCGGTGGTCGACTGTAGCTTCCTGGGCGCTCTATAGCTGGGGGTCTATGCTCCCCCTCCACTGAGCGCCCTGACTTAGTGTGGAAGACCTGATGCTGCCGGGACAGACGGCTCCTCTGATGGCGTTACCATACTTGGCTCATCTGGACTCAGCCAAATATAATTTTTACTTGTGTGTGTGTGTGTGTGTGTGTGTGTGTGTGTGTGTGTGTGTGTGTGTGTGTGTGTGTGTGTGTGTGTGTGTGTGTGAGTCTGTGAGTGTGCGTGTGCTTGCATATGTCTGTTAATGTTTTTAACCTGTTATGGGAATTTGGGGTCATTTTGTAAAGCACTTTGTTTGAAAAGCACTTTATAAATAAATTTGATTGATTGAACTGTACATCTCCTTCAAGCCCCCATGAGAGGTCTAAGCTGCAGCTGTTACACACCTGCTTAGACTCTATCAAAACCTGGATGGCTGGGAGCTTTCTACAGCTGAATGAAGATAAGACTGAGATCCTCATCTGTGCCCCAGACAAGCTGGTTCCCAAAGTCAGAGACTCTCTTGGTCAGCTTGCTTCTCACACCAAACCTTCCGTCAGGAATCTTGGCGTGACCTTTGACCCAGCTCTCACCCTGGATTCTCATGTCAGTTCTCTTGTTCGCTCTTCCTTCTTCCATCTCAGGAACATTGCTAAGCTGAGTCCCATTCTGTCCCGCTCTGAACTTAAGACAGTTCTCCACACCTTCATCTCCTCACGCTTAGACTACTGTAACTCTCTTTTCACGTGTCTGAGCAGAACCTCCCTGAACCATCTACAGGGGGTTCAGAATGCCTGTGCTCGGCTTCTGACCAAGTCCTCCAAACACACCCACATCACCCCGCTTCTCTTCCAGCTTCACTGGCTGCCAGTCAACTTCAGGGTTCATTTCAAGATCCTGGTTCTGGTCTATAGGGCCTTACATGGACAAGCACCATCTTACATTGGTGATCTTCTTAGTCCCTACACCCCCAGCAGGTCCCTGAGGTCCAGTGATCAAAGCCTACTGGTTGTGCAGCACCAGGCTAAAGACCAAAGGTGACAGATCATTTGCTGCTGTGGCCCCAGACTCTGGACCTCTCTCTCCCTGAGCCTGAGATCAGTGGACTCAGTGGCCTCCTTTAAAAAGCAGCTGATGACTCACTAGTTCAAGCTGGCTTTTGTATGACCTTCTTCAACCCCTCTCTCTTTATTCTGTCCTCTCCACCTATTCCACCTTCCTCAGGATCCACTGATTTCCTCTTTCCTATTCACTCTCTCTCTCTTAAATTTTTTTCTTGTAAATCCCAATTGCCTATTTTTGCTCATTTTAAATATGTTTTGAAACATTTTCTAAATGCTTATTTTTACATTTTTTTTGTCTTTGTGAAGCACCTCGTGATTTTTATCTTGAGAGGCGCTATAGAAATGATATTTTCTTCTTCTTCTTCATCTTCTTCTTCTAAGAGCACAGATGCACAATATCCTCCTCTCAGGATTTTCTTTCACTGGTGAAATCCTGCAAAAGCACCTGGCTCAACTGGGGGGGGAGGGGGGCTCCAAGACTACCTGGTATTTTAGTCTAATTCAACTTCAACAGGGATTTATTAGCAGCTCAGGTTTCATGTGAAAACTATGTACAGGTCAGACAGTAAAAGGGTGGAGCTGGTGTGCTCAGACCACGCCCCTTTTTGTGCCGTCTAGGAATACTAAATGAAAAAAGTTTTCAAGCTAAATTTACTCCAGCTTGTTAAAAGTATCATTTTGTATGTGTGCGTTTCAAATGAGCTCAAAATAATCAAAATAATGTTGGACTGAATGATCTCCAGATTCTCCATCTGTTTATCTGCGTTTTGCTTTTATGTTTACTAAAAGATGTAATAAAAGATAATTTTACTTTTTTCAATTTTTGATTTTTAGAGCAGTGACAAACTGGCTTGCTGTGTGTTTTGCAATGTGAACATCCCATCCTTTATTAAAGTTACATAATCCCATATTATAAACCAGACTAGGGGGTCAGAGTGACCTCCTCAACGATCATTTATCTGCTCGAGAAAGGAAATGAGAAGCAGAGACAGAAGAGTCCAAACAGCCACGCAGCTGACAAACTTTGGAACAGCAAGCTGGGTCTGCCTGTCTCTTTAACTGCATGTTTAAGACTGAATCTGCGTGACCGTGTCTGTGTTTGCATGTGAGATTTACCATGTGTGTGTGTTTTTACCCACTTTTCAGCCTCAAGGCGCATCTGCTCTCTCCTCTGCCTCCTCAGCTCCATGCGGCGGTCAAAATCATCGTCCATGATGTCCCAAAGATTCTCCTTAGCTGGCCATTGAAACACACAAAAATGAAAATCAGTGTAACATTCAGGGGAAAACAAGTTTCATCTGAACCGTAATTCCAGTTTTGTGAGGTTTGTAACTCTCATACATGAAACAGAAGTCAGAAGATCAGCAGCATCTTCTGAGACTCACATCAACGCCTCGACCAGCAGAAGAACCTGCTGATGTTTCTTTACCTCAGCAGCATCTAAAGTTTAGAGCATAGGCAGCAGCCTCCGTCCTCGTGACGTTCGTCAGCCTCAGCAGTCTGGTTCATGTCTCAGCTCTTCAGCAGCCAGAAGCATTCCCGTTTGTCGTTTCTGCTACTTTAACTACCAGAAAAGGCAAAGCCTCCCTCCTCTTCCTCCTCCTCAGTCTGACTTCTGCTCGGCCTCGTTTTCCCTCCCTGATCTGTAACTTTTGGTCATCTATTCTTTAGCATGAACCCCGTCTCTATTAAATACAGAAGAAGACTCAGATTTTTGTGTTTCTGCATCTGTAAAAGTGGACTCATGGACAGAAAATGTTGTTAATGCAAAACCCGTGAAAGTTTCACGTGGGTAGTTCATGCAGCCCATTCCATAACTGAATAAAATCATCATGCTCCCAGTAAATACTGTGCTCTGCTGTTTATTTTTGGTCCCACTTAAAACAGCGATTAGCTCATCTCTCTGGTCAGAACTCATCTATATTTCTCCAAACTGAGGTTGTTCATAGATCTAGCTATTGTAGTTACACTATTTCTATTCTTGCATTTCTCACAGAAACACAAATCATGTTACTGTAACTTCTCTAAATTGTTGTCATAGTCTGAAGACCTTCAGCCTTTAGTGCCAACATTAAACCACTGACAACAAAAGCCTTTTTAACATTAAAGGAAGCTAATTCAGCCTTATTTGCTCTTTCAGGAAGTCTGGGAGTGGATGCTGGGTGCAGAGGAGCTTGATTTATAAATAAATATAGCTTAAAGCTTAATTCATGCTCCATAGAAGGCTGGACTACAGAGGGTCATGTCACACTATCATTCTTTTGTTTTTGCTCCTGTCCCTTCAGATGATCAGAGGAGTTGAGTGTGTGAGAGTAAAGTCTTCAGCAGAGCCAAATACAGTCAGACAGATGCACAGATTACACAACAAAACAAACATCAGACGGGTAACTTTCCAGGACAAGAAGGACACCGTTTTGTTGCATTTAACCCTTCATGAAAAACGGGAAATTCTGGTTTTACGTCTCGTAAAAAGTAAAAAAGAAACAAATGAGGTAGAATGTGACTTAGGGATCTAAAACTATGTTTGCTTTTTATTACAAACTGTCTCTGATCATCGCATTAATAAGACATTATTAACGTCAAGCTAGAAACCTTTAAAACAACAGTTAGGTGTCCCAGTGATGGAGTGGAAAACACCCTGATGTCTCCCTTGACTTTAGTATAGGATCTTCATTCATTCATTAGTCTTCTTAACAACTTGTGATGATCGAAAGAGAAACTGGTGCAGTTACTGGGCAGGCAGGGAACACCCTGGTCCGCTTACACTCGGCATTTTATCAACTAAATTATACAAAACAAAACTGTTTATTGTCTTATAAGCACTCCATCCTATTGGTGGGCTTGTTAAAATATTTTTGAATAATTTGCGGGTATCAAATTTTTCACAGGACTTCAATCTCTATAAAATGTATCAGTTTGAAACACCTGGATCCCACAACATTGGGTCTCAGCGACTGATCAAGATCTCAGGTATCTCAGGTACAGAGCTGCCGTTTTAACAGGATTTAATGTTTTTTTATTTACCTTTCACAAACAAACCAACTTAAAAACAAAAATGTTTTACTGTGTGTGATGTAAAAATATATTCTTTGCTTTACAGTTCAAACAAATTCTCAGACATAATTATAATGATTAATATCATAAAATAGCAAATAAAAAGAGGGGCTGAAGTTGGAGTAAAAGTGCTGACGGACAAATAACGTAAAAATGATTTAAATTAAAGTAAACAGCTGATTGGTCTCAGATTTGGTTTGTTTACATTTAAATTTTCCGGACAACTTATTAAATCCAGTCTGAAAGACGGAGGCCAAGTCTCAGAAAAATCATTTCAGTAATAAATAATCCTTCACTTTACAGTTAGATTAAAAACGTGTTCATGTTATCACACTGATATTAGCGTCAGAGATCACAGAAAGGAAATAAACGGAAAGAATTTCTCACCGTGTTTTATTTCATTGTTTTTAAGACTTTTATTTGAACCACCAGCAGCTCTGAACACTTGCTCCTGTCTACCGAACCGGACCGAATGAGACCACAAATGTTGGCGCACGCCTCCAGGATGTGCTCAAGCACTGGAAAGATGCCTCTGCGAGTACTCGCGATATCACACCAAGTTCACGCGAGATTACGTCACCAAAATGCTAAAATAATGAATACACACATTTAAAACACTAGTAGACACTCATTTATACAGTTTATCAGCAAAAAAAGGTTAATTTAGACGTTACTTGCTCTCTAAAAATCTTCCCAAAGGAAACAAATAAATGCTTTATGAAAGTTTGAGTAGTGCAGAATCAAGCTAGATGAATGCGTTGGCAGCAGCTTCACAGACCAGCGTCAGCGTGCTTACGTCATAAAGGTGACGTCATCATAGGTTTTAGTTTAGAACTCTTTGCACAGCATCTGTCATTCTCTTGTGATCTCTGCAGGAGCTAGACGTTCCCTGAGTTCAGCGAGAGTTTTCAGTCGTTTTGTGAACAGCAATCGGTTTTAGCACAGTAGGACAGCTATTTACTGGTTTTTACTGAAGCCTTCAACTGATTGCTTTATATTACGATGGCTAGTCAAACATCTCGTTTCCAGAAGGTGGCAAATGCCCCCTCTAGCACCAGCGATGTCTACAGCCTTAAACAGCAGTTTCAGAAGGAAATTAAAAGGCTTAACGGCCTTTTAAAAGAGGAGAGAGCTAAATCGTCTAACCCTGCGATAGACCAGCTCCGCAAAGAACTGGATCAAGTCAAGACCCAGTTGGCTAACGAAAAATCTGTGAACCAGATCTTTAGCAACAAAGACAAGGAGACTCAAAGAGAGCTTGAGAATTTGATGGAAAACACCTCCAGCATTCAAGCCACGCTTAAACATGACTTGAAGACACTTCAGCAAGCTCACGAAGATCTGAAGGTGACTTATCTCAATAGTCAGAAGAGTTTTTCATCTGAGCTTCAGAAGGAGAAAGACATAATCCAGGAACTCCAGAATGAGTTAGGCCAGTGCAAAGATTCATATCAACAGCTGATGGTGAACTTTGACAAACAGGTTTCCGTTTGTCGGCTGTCAAAAGCCTCCGACCACCAAACCAAACAAAAACTGAAAAAACTCAATCAAGCCTACAAAGATCTGAAAGTGACCCATCTTAATAACAAACAGAACTTTTCATCTGAGCTTCAGAAGGAGAAAAGCACAATCCAGGATCTCCAGAATGAATTAGGCCAGTTGAAAGATTCATATCAACAACTGAAGATAAACTTTGATAAACAAGTTTCTGTTTGTCAGCTGTCAAAAAATTCTGAATGCAAAACCAAACAGGAACTTCAACAACTTCAGCTAGCCCATGAGAAGTTGAAGGAGACGTTCCAAAACAGCCAAAAAGAGGTTTTACCAGAGCCCAGAAAAATCAAAGTGCTGCGCAAACGATCAAACAAATTCAAGGCTTCATATCAAGACCTGAAGCTGAAACACAATCAAGAAATCTCTGTTTACAAAATCAGTCAAGAGATGAAAAAGCTTCAACAAATGAATGCAGACTTGAACGCCACACTTGTCAAAAGCCAAACCCAGCTCCTGTCAGAACTACAGAAAGAGAAGTGTACAGTGAGAGAGCTCCAGAGTGAACTGAACCTTTCCAAAGTTTTGTACGAAGACCTGAAACTTAAGTACAATCAAGATGTTTTAGTCAGTCAGCATTTGAAAAACATCAAAGATAAATCTACTGGGGAGCCGCAGGACATAAAGCAACTCAGAGCTGAACACGACGCCATGTGTAAAACTCTGATTGAAGCCAACAGATCCTTGTACACGTCTACGGAGCAGACTAAAATTCAGATGCAAGCTGAGTTGGACGAGGTCAAAGACTCTTTGGTGCTTCACAAATTAAACTCTGGTTGGGATCAAGCTTTGTTAGTGTCCCAGTTAAAAGTTTATGATCAGTTGCTTCGTGAGGAAACTGAAGCCCACTGCCAAACACAAGCTAGTCACTTCCTGGAGCTGAATGGTTTTCAAGCAGAGAGCAGTTTGGGTCAGAACCAGTCTCAAAAGAGAAAGAGACCCACAGAAGCAGAGGACGAGACACAGAACAGAGAGGTAAAACAGAGGAAACTGATCCGTCGTGAGTAATCAAGACAGACAGAAAATCACACAGTGCTTCACATAAACAAAAGCTGGTTCACCGCGTCTCGTAACACACTTCATGGACATTCAGAAGTAGGTGGTCAGCTGATCCGAGTGCACGAGATGGTTTGTAGGGCATCCTAAGCTCTGTGAGACATGAGGGTGCCATGTTATGGATGGATTTAAAAAACAAACAGGAGACTTTTGAACCTTATCTGAAAAAACACTGGTAGCCAATGTAGCTCAGCTAAAACGGGTGTAAAGTGAGAACGGCTGTTTGATTTAGAGAGAGATCTAGCTGCTCGTTCTGAACGTTTGTAGAGTTAACTGCAGACTTGTTTACACCTAGCAGATTAGAGTTACTGTAATCTAGTCTTGATGTAATGAAAGCACGTATGACCGACTCCAGATGAGGTCTTTTAAGGATCTGCTTACGGCAGGTTATGCCACATCGTTAGAAGAAACTAAATTTGACACAGTGGCGTTTATCTGAGGCAGTGTAGAGAGATCTGATCTAACCAAGTCACAAAAAAACTTATCATTGCTTTTATTCGTCAGGCTCCAGGCTCCAGAAGGTAAGTATCTGCTCTAGGGGTGTCCCGATACTACTTTTTCACTTCCGATTTGATATTATTATTGCCGCCTTCAGTATTGACCGATATCAATCTGATCCGATATCAGCGTAAATCATACATACATTTTTTAACCATTGGTTGCAAAAATGTGAACCTTAACGGACTACTTAAATCAGAGATTTTTGATGCAGTCTGATAAAATCCCATACTGTGTTTTTGGGGCCGATAACGAATTACTTTCGATATTGTAACGGGACATCCCTAATCTGCTCTCTCACCCCCCAGTCAGTCGTGGCAGATGACTGCCCATACTGAGCCAGGTTCTGCTGGAGGTTTCTTCCCGTTAAAGGGGAGTTTTTCCTCTCCACTGTTGCTACATGCTTGCTTAGTATGGGGATTGCTGTAAAGTCACTGGCACAACAAGTTAGTGACTCGATGCAGTCTGCTGGGTTTTCTTAGTTAGGAGTCTTTTAACTAATTGGCACGATCAACTGAACTGAAAGCACTATTTAATAAGTTAACTCATTTGGAATGTTTGCCTTGTAAAGACTTATGTTGTGAATTGGCGCTTTATAAATATCTCAATTAAACTGAATTAAAAGCAAGGCTGCACAGTGGCACAGTGGTTAGAGCTGTTGCCTTGTAGCAAGAAGGTCCTGGGTTCGCGGCCTGGGATCTTTCTGCGTGGAGGTTGCATGTTCTCCCTGTGCATGCGTGGGTTCTGTCCGGCTAGTCCGGCTTCCTCCCACAGTCCAAAAGCATGATTGATTGGTTAATGGTTAACTGATAAAAAAAACAAAAACAAAAAAACAAAACAAAAAAACCCACTCGTGACCTGCACCTTGACGTGGTGAGTGGGCTTCTCACTAAGACAGGTCGATTGAAACTGTGTCTGCTTGACTGCTATTTTCCAAATTTTAATCTCAGGGCCCATAATGAACTCTGTTTATGTTACAGCGCCCTCTCCTGGTTGCAGTGACGGGTGGACCAGTCATCATGGATTTAAAGGAACTTCCAAGTTTTCTTGTTAAATGCTGGACGGCTGCGAGCATTAGATTGGGATAAAAGAGGTGGATTTGAGATGATGTTTTCCAGTGAAGGACAGCTTGGCATGTTAGCATGGTATTGCAACGCAGGAGATGAAATCACTGGTTTGTTTTCCAATGGTGGACATATCGGACCAGCTGTCAAGGATTGGTGAGAAGAAGGCGGAAAATAGGGCTTGCTTTCAATTTTCACCTCTTTTTCTTTAACAGCCTCTATTCTTGTAATAGAGCAAGTATTCAGATTATCTGAGGTGATTTCATGCTGATAAATCTGTATGTTGTTTCCTACATCTGAGATTTTTCCTGGCTTGATTAAGTCTTTGTCAAAACAAACCCTTTTTATCTCTTCCTTATCTGAAGTCGGTGCCACCACTAGCTCAAATTTGTTTTCAAATTCTGGACATCTGGCACCAACAACCTCTTTTCCAACCCCCATTTCTGCAATCAAGCAAGTATTAAGAGTATCTGAGGTGCTTTTCTCTGAAAGCCAAGTTTCTGCATCTGTTAGAAGAGATTCTTATGAGATTTTTCCCGGCATTAAGTTCTCAGCAGAACAAACTCTTTTTTTCCCTTTCTTATCTGAAGTCGGTGCCACCAGCGGTTCAGCAGGATCTTTGCTGGGTGCTTTAGAGCTTTTATTGCAGTCTGCAGTTTGACAATTTCACTGTCTTTATTTTTTATGGTTTCTTTCAGTTTTTGTAAGTCCGTTTTAAAACTCTCCTCAGTTTCCTGAAGTCGTGTGTGCAGATCTGATTCACTGGTGATCAAATCCTCCAGAACAGCTAAAACTTTCTGACAAATCTCTTCAGATTTTTGCATCTGAACAAGCAGCTCGGGCTTGCTGACATCAAAAAGCATAGTCACCTCCGTCAGCTGCTTTTCAACAATCAAGACATCGGTTTGACTAGATGCTGAGGTGAGATTTTTTCTAAGAAAAAACATTTTCATCTTGGAAATTATCTCTTGTGGACCATTCTTTGTGTTTGGCTGTTGTCGGTCTGTCAAGCATTCAGCATTCACAGATGGAAGTGTTGAAAATACTCAGACTCAAATATGTAAAACGCTATCGGATCTGTCAAGATGTGACCGTCAGAAACTAACCGCTTATGACTAGTAATGTCTGAGTTCTACAGCTGTCTAGATGGAGTGCTCTGTGAATTCATCAAAGCAAATAATTAATGTAATTAATTAATTACATTACATTAATTATTTGCTTTGATGACATCATAGAGCACTCCATCTAGATGAATGAATGAATGAATGAATAAATGAATGAATTAATTAACCTGCTGCTGCAGCAAGCAGGAACTTTGTTTTTATGCAACTGGTGGAGTTTGTAATATTATTTACCTTATTATTATTATTCTTATCATTTTTAGTATTATTAATATATTTTTAATTATTATTATTAAGGGACCTGCTGTTGCAGTGGCTCGGCAGTGGGAGGTGTGCTATGGCTTTTCTAAGCGATCTGACTTACCATGGCGAAATAAGTAGCAGAAAAAATTAAAAACATTCCCATTTTGGGGCAGATTTAACAATCCTTTCAAATTTTGAGAGAGTGGAACTTTTACATTAGCATAAAAACTGTCTTGTGCCAGGTGGCAGGTCTCTTTTTAAAACCACATTCCTGACAGTTACATCCATGCACTGTGGTCCTGTCCACCTGTCCAGGAATTTTGAGGTAGAGTATGTGAAAATCTGTCAAAGTCTCTGAAATGTCATATCCCAACCTCTCCCTCTCTTTGTTTGCTGGGAAACCTGGATGATGTCCAGATTGAAACATTTTTAGTTCACGTGGTTCTGACTGCCATATGCATCGCTTAGAAATCTATCCTCATGAATTGGAAAAATAGAGATACTCTTTGCATTAACCAGTATAGAAATCTTTTCTTAGATCATATTACACTTGATACAGCCTCCGCTTCCACTTCAAGTCAATCTCTCTGGGCATTCCCTGGAGGTGGGTTCACTGGGGGTGTCTGGGGCTGGGGAGCTGCTGCCCCCGTCTGGAGGTGCTTGGGTTGCCTCGGGGGGTGGACTACTGGCGGTTGTGAGTGGGGCCCCTTGGGGGGTCTTGGCGGTGGCCATGGGTTGCTGTCTGGCGGCTGCATTGCCTCTGAGTAGATCTGGGTGGGGGCCTGGGGGCTCGGGGTGTGGGGGAGGCGGGCCCCGTGTGGGGATCTGGACAGGGCCTTGGGGATGAGGTCCTGACTCGTAAGCTGCCGGGAAGAAAGCAGGAACAAGTGCCAGCGCATGGCCCAGAATCAAGGGCCTCAGGTGAACCTTGACTCCTCTGGAATAACAACTCTGTCCCATCACAGGGGAGGGGGATGTCCAGGAGGGGAGGACCCAACCTTACCTGGATGTCTCATGTCTTAAATATTCTGGAAGCTGTGCAAATGCAGGGATGCAAGTAGATATTCTGCTGTGGTGGGGCTGGGTTGGTGCCCTCGGACTCAGTGGGGCTCTGCGATGCTGCTTTATGATGCATAACACACTTTTCACACGTTTTAACAAAAAAGCCCTTGACCGCCTTCAGTTGGTCCAGAACTCTGCAGCGAGGCTGCTAACTGGAGCAAACAGAAGAGCACACATCACTCCTATTCTAATGTCTCTCTGCAGAAAATGTTGTTAATGCAAAACCCGTGAAAGTTTCACGTGGGTAGTTCATGCAGCCCATTCCATAACTGAATAAAATCATCATGCTCCCAGTAAATACTGTGCTCTGCTGTTTATTTTTGGTCCCACTTAAAACAGCGATTAGCTAATCTCTCTGGTCAGAACTCATCTATATTTCTCCAAACTGAGATTGTTCATAGATCTAGCTATTGTAGTTACACTATTTCTATTCTTGCATTTCTCACAGAAACACAAATCATGTTACTGTAACTTCTCTAAATTGTTGTCATAGTCTGAAGACCTTCAGCCTTTAGTGCCAACATTAAACCACTGACAACAAAAGCCTTTTTAACATTAAAGGAAGCTAATTCAGCCTTATTTGCTCTTTCAGGAAGTCTGGGAGTGGATGCTGGGTGCAGAGGAGCTTGATTTATAAATAAATATAGCTTAAAGCTTAATTCATGCTCCATAGAAGGCTGGACTACAGAGAGTCATGTCACACTATCATTCTTTTGTTTTTGCTCCTGTCCCTTCAGATGATCAGAGGAGTTGAGTGTGTGAGAGTAAAGTCTTCAGCAGAGCCAAATACAGTCAGACAGATGCACAGATTACACAACAAAACAAACATCAGACGGGTAACTTTCCAGGACAAGAAGGACACCGTTTTGTTGCATTTAACCCTTCATGAAAAACGGGAAATTCTGGTTTTACGTCTCGTAAAAAGTAAAAAAGAAACAAATGAGGTAGAATGTGACTTAGGGATCTAAAACTATGTTTGCTTTTTATTACAAACTGTCTCTGATCATCGCATTAATAAAACATTATTAACGTCAAGCTAGAAACCTTTAAAACAACAGTTAGGTGTCCCAGTGATGGAGTGGAAAACACCCTGATGTCTCCCTTGACTTTAGTATAGGATCTTCATTCATTCATTAGTCTTCTTAACAACTTGTGATGATCGAAAGAGAAACTGGTGCAGTTACTGGGCAGGCAGGGAACACCCTGGTCCGCTTACACTCGGCATTTTATCAACTAAATTATACAAAACAAAACTGTTTATTGTCTTATAAGCACTCCATCCTATTGGTGGGCTTGTTAAAATATTTTTGAATAATTTGCAGGTATCAAATTTTTCACAGGACTTCAATCTCTATAAAATGTATCAGTTTGAAACACCTGGATCCCACAACATTGGGTCTCAGCGACTGATCAAGATCTCAGGTATCTCAGGTACAGAGCTGCCGTTTTAACAGGATTTAATGTTTTTTTATTTACCTTTCACAAACAAACCAACTTAAAAACAAAAATGTTTTACTGTGTGTGATGTAAAAATATATTCTTTGCTTTACAGTTCAAACAAATTCTCAGACATAATTATAATGATTAATATCATAAATTGCAAATAAAAGGAGGGGCTGAAGTTGGAGTAAAAGTGCTGACGGACAAATAACAACGTAAAAATTATTTAAATTAAAGTAAACAGCTGATTGGTCTCAGATTTGGTTTGTTTACATTTAAATTTTCCGGACAACTTATTAAATCCAGTCTGAAGGACGGAGGCCAAGTCTCAGAAAAATCATTTCAGTAATAAATAATCCTTCACTTTACAGTCAGATTATAAACGTGTTCATGTTATCACACTGATATTAGCGTCAGAGATCACAGAAAGGAAATAAACGGAAATAATTTCTCACCGTGTTTTATTTCATTGTTTTTAAGACTTTTATTTGAACCACCAGCAGCTCTGAACACTTGCTCCTGTCTACCGAACCGGACCGAATGAGACCACAAATGTTGGCGCATGCCTCCAGGATGTGCTCAAGCACTGGAAAGATGCCTCTGCGAGTACTCGCGATATCACACCAAGTTCACGCGAGATTTCGTTACCAAAATGCTAAAATAATGAATACACACATTTAAAACACTATTAGACACTCATTTATACAGTTTATCAGCAAAAAAAGGTTAATTTAGACGTTACTTGCTCTCTAAAAATCTTCCCAAAGGAAACAAATAAATGCTTTATGAAAGTTTGAGTAGTGCAGAATCAAGCTAGATGAATGCGTTGGCAGCAGCTTCACAGACCAGCGTCAGCGTGCTTACGTCATAAAGGTGACGTCATCATAGGTTTTAGTTTAGAACTCTTTGCACAGCATCTGTCATTCTCTTGTGATCTCTGCAGGAGCTAGACGTTCCCTGAGTTCAGCGAGAGTTTTCAGTCGTTTTGTGAACAGCAATCGGTTTTAGCACAGTAGGACAGCTATTTACTGGTTTTTACTGAAGCCTTCAACTGATTGCTTTATATTACGATGGCTAGTCAAACATCTCGTTTCCAGAAGGTGGCAAATGCCCCCTCTAGCACCAGCGATGTCTACAGCCTTAAACAGCAGTTTCAGAAGGAAATTAAAAGGCTTAACGGCCTTTTAAAAGAGGAGAGAGCTAAATCGTCTAACCCTGCGATAGACCAGCTCCGCAAAGAACTGGATCAAGTCAAGACCCAGTTGGCTAACGAAAAATCTGTGAACCAGATCTTAAGCAACAAAGACAAGGAGACTCAAAGAGAGCTTGAGAATTTGATGGAAAACACCTCCAGCATTCAAGCCACGCTTAAACATGACTTGAAGACACTTCAGCAAGCTCACGAAGATCTGAAGGTGACTTATCTCAATAGTCAGAAGAGTTTTTCATCTGAGCTTCAGAAGGAGAAAGACATAATCCAGGAACTCCAGAATGAGTTAGGCCAGTGCAAAGATTCATATCAACAGCTGATGGTGAACTTTGACAAACAGGTTTCCGTTTGTCGGCTGTCAAAAGCCTCCGACCACCAAACCAAACAAAAACTGAAAAAACTCAATCAAGCCTACAAAGATCTGAAAGTGACCCATCTTAATAACAAACAGAACTTTTCATCTGAGCTTCAGAAGGAGAAAAGCACAATCCAGGATCTCCAGAATGAATTAGGCCAGTTGAAAGATTCATATCAACAACTGAAGATAAACTTTGATAAACAAGTTTCTGTTTGTCAGCTGTCAAAAAATTCTGAATGCAAAACCAAACAGGAACTTCAACAACTTCAGCTAGCCCATGAGAAGTTGAAGGAGACGTTCCAAAACAGCCAAAAAGAGGTTTTACCAGAGCCCAGAAAAATCAAAGTGCTGCGCAAACGATCAAACAAATTCAAGGCTTCATATCAAGACCTGAAGCTGAAACACAATCAAGAAATCTCTGTTTACAAAATCAGTCAAGAGATGAAAAAGCTTCAACAAATGAATGCAGACTTGAACGCCACACTTGTCAAAAGCCAAACCCAGCTCCTGTCAGAACTACAGAAAGAGAAGTGTACAGTGAGAGAGCTCCAGAGTGAACTGAACCTTTCCAAAGTTTTGTACGAAGACCTGAAACTTAAGTACAATCAAGATGTTTTAGTCAGTCAGCATTTGAAAAACATCAAAGATAAATCTACTGGGGAGCCGCAGGACATAAAGCAACTCAGAGCTGAACACGACGCCATGTGTAAAACTCTGATTGAAGCCAACAGATCCTTGTACACGTCTACGGAGC